TAAAAGAATGGTTCCTTTCCATTTTATAAAACAAATGCAAAAATTCCTCACGAAATTATTCATAGCACAGAATGTAATATATAAACTGAACAGGGCTGTACAGACACTAAAATTAAATCATGGTGCATGTCATAGTATCAGCCAAGGTATATTTTTGTGTATATAGTACTTAGGAGATTTTGTTTTCTGAAGTGGTACATCAGATGAGGCAAATGCTGGAATTTACTTTCAGATTATTGGTTGATTCAAATTAAAACTCAGGGATGTGAATCAAAGGTATTTTCTTTTATATGAATAAAAGGCTGCACTCTGGAAATGGAGCAAATGCTGCTTCAAATGTAATTGTGCTGATCTTCTACTTCCATCTATCGATGAATATGTTCTAGGTACAATGAAGCACTCAGATCATGTGAAATGTCAGAGACTTGAGTGTAGCAGTGGGTACCAAGGTTTGCCTGGGCTGGCACCAGCCTCTGCTGCCATGTGTCGAGGTGGCGGGGACATTAGAGGCGTCAAGGCAGAGGATGCTTTAGCTTGCTTTTCCCTTTGTTTGTTTTTACCTTCCTGGCCCTGTTGAGAGGCAGCCTGTGCCCCAGCCTGGGCCCCTACCTTTGGGCCATCTCCCCGCTTTTAACCTTTTTGTATCAATTTTTCTGATTTGTGTTTTGTACTTAGTTGAATCTTGAATGACAGTTTTGCATCAGGTATCCTGGTTGAACCCGGGTAAAGGCCAGAGGTGCTGGGGGCTGATCCTCACCCTGGTCTCTCCTGAGGGGATGGAAGGTCACAGGTTCCTGCAGAGCTGAAAGCAGACTTGGAAATTTGGTTTCTTTTTCTTGGAAACATGCAGTAAGGATCAAAGATCCCACAGCACCCAAAAGGAGAGAGAGAACAAAAGGGAATGCCCTGCCAGAGGCAGGGTGGGATGGGGGGATGGGGGTGGGAGGGATACTGGGATCAGTGATGGTGGAGAATGGGCACTGGTGGAGGGTGGGTACTCAATCATTGCATAACTGAAACCCAAGCACAAAAATTTGTAAGTCTACAACTGTACCTCATGGTGTTTCATTAAATAAAAATTAAAAAAACAAAAACAAAAACAAAGGTCCCTGGGTCTCATTCCCAGACCCTTTCTGACTCCCGGCAGGCAGGCTCACTGTGTGAGGGCACCTGAAGCGGCAGCTGGAGCGAGGTGGGGGCTGGGGAAGAGCCCTGCCTTGCCTCAGCCCTCACAGTGTGGAGCAGGCAGACAGGTTCCAGGGGCCGCCTGCATCCGCCAGGCCCCACCTGGGCCTCTGGCAAGCTGCTGTTGAGACTCTCACCTGCTGGCTCAGCCCAGCCCTGTTCCATCAGAGGCCTGCCATGTTTGCACTCGTAGTCGGGATCTTCTCTGCACCCTGGCACCCAGTCCCTTCGGCCTTCACCCCCTTTCTGTCCAGAGGTGCCAGTCCACACTTGCCTGGTCAGTCCCTTCCGGTCTCTGGGCAATGTGGGTGTCAGGCCCGGAGCTCCACTCTTCTGCGTGTCCTGCTGTGGCGAGTGCATTTCTTTGTGCGGTCTGCTGCTTGCTTCAGGTTTCATTTGTATTTTGATGTGTTTGTAGGTTTCTTTCAGCCATTGCAGTGGCTTCTCTGTCTACATTTATGAACGAAATATATGAATCCCCTGTTGGAGACTGGTTTTCTTCTTCCAAAGTCAGGCCTGTGGGAAATGAATCTGTAAATCTGTGCCGAGGGGCTGGAGCAATAGCACAGCGGGTAGGGCGTTTGCCTTGCACGTGATCGACCTGGGTTTGATTCCCAGCATCCTTTATGGTCCTCTGAGCACTGTTAGGGGTAATATCTGAGTGCAGAGCCAGGAGTAACCCCTATGCATTGCCAGGTGTGACCCAAAAAGAAAAAAAATCTGTGCTGAGTCTTTTATTGGATTAGATGCTATGGGATGTTTGATCAAAACAAGCTGCAGGGCTGGGGTGTGGCTGGGGTACAGCTGGACTGTGGTTATGCTGGGACTGGGTGTGATTGGGTGTGAGTACCTGTGACTGGGTGTGACTGGTGTGACTGGGTGTGACTGCCTGTGACTGGCTGTAACTGGGTGTGATTGGGTGTGAGTACCTGTGACTGGGTGTGATTGGGTGTGACTGGGTGTGACTGCCTGTGACTGGCTGTGACTGAGTGTGACTACCTGTGACTGAGTGTGACTGGCTGTGACTGGGTGTGACTGCCTGTGACTGGCTGTGACTGGATGTGACTGGCTGTGACTGGCTGTGACTGAGTGTGAGTGGGTGTGACTGCCTGTGAGTGGGTGTGACTGGGTGTGACTGCCTGTGACTGCTGTGACTGGGTGTGACTGCCTGTGACTGGCTGTGACTGGGTGTGACTGCCTGTGACTGGGTGTGACTGCCTGTGACTGGGTGTGACTGCCTGTGACTGGCTGTGATGTGACTGGCTGTGACTGAGTGTGAGTGGGTGTGACTGCCTGTGACTGGGTGTGAGTGGGTGTGACTGCCTGTGACTGGCTGTGACTGGATGTGACTGGCTGTGACTGGCTGTGACTGAGTGTGAGTGGGTGTGACTGCCTGTGAGTGGGTGTGACTGCCTGTGAGTGGGTGTGACTGCCTGTGACTGCCTGTGACTGGCTGTGAGTGGGTGTCACTGGGTGTGACTGCCTGTGACTGGGTGTGACTGCCTGTGACTGGCTGTGACTGGGTGTGACTGGCTGTGACTGGGTGTGAGTGGGTGTGACTGCCTGTGACTGGGTGTGACTGCCTGTGACTGGGTGTGACTGGGTGTGACTGCCTGTGACTGGGTGTGACTGGCTGTGACTGTGAGTGGGTGTGACTGCCTGTGACTGGGTGTGAGTGGGTGTGACTGCCTGTGACTGGCTGTGACTGGATGTGACTGGCTGTGACTGAGTGTGAGTGGGTGTGACTGCCTGTGAGTGGGTGTGACTGCCTGTGAGTGGGTGTGACTGCCTGTGACTGCCTGTGACTGGCTGTGAGTGGGTGTCACTGGGTGTGACTGCCTGTGACTGGGTGTGACTGCCTGTGACTGGCTGTGACTGGGTGTGACTGCCTGTGACTGGATGTGACTGTCTGTGACTGGGTGTGAGTGGGTGTGACTGCCTGTGACTGGGTGTGACTGCCTGTGACTGGATGTGACTGGGTGTGACTGCCTGTGACTGAATGTGACTGGGTGTCACTGGGTGTGACTGGGTGTGACTGGCTGTGACTGGGTGTGATTGGGTGTGACTGGGTGTGACTGCCTGTGACTGGCTGTGACTGGATGTGACTGAATGTGACTGGCTGTGACTGGGTGTGAGTGGGTGTGACTGCCTGTGACTGGGTGTGACTGCCTGTGACTGGGTGTGACTGCCTGTGACTGGGTGTGACTGGGTGTGACTGCCTGTGACTGGGTGTGATTGGGTGTGACTGGGTGTGACTGGGTGTGACTGGCTGTGACTGGGTGTGATTGGGTGTGACTGGGTGTGACTGCCTGTGACTGGCTGTGACTGAGTGTGACTACCTGTGACTGAGTGTGACTGGGTGTGACTGCCTGTGACTGCCTGTGACTGGCTGTGACTGGATGTGACTGGCTGTGACTGGCTGTGACTGAGTGTGAGTGGGTGTGACTGCCTGTGAGTGGGTGTGACTGGGTGTGACTGCCTGTGACTGGGTGTGACTGGCTGTGACTGGGTGTGACTGCCTGTGACTGGGTGTGACTGCCTGTGACTGGCTGTGACTGGATGTGACTGGCTGTGACTGAGTGTGAGTGGGTGTGACTGCCTGTGACTGGCTGTGACTGGCTGTGACTGGGTGTGATTGGGTGTGACTGGGTGTGACTGCCTGTGACTGGCTGTGACTGGATGTGACTGGCTGTGACTGGCTGTGACTGAGTGTGAGTGGGTATGACTGCCTGTGAGTGGGTGTGACTGCCTGTGACTGCCTGTGACTGGCTGTGAGTGGGTGTCACTGGGTGTGATTGGGTGTGACTGGGTGTGACTGCCTGTGACTGGCTGTGAGTGGGTGTCACTGGGTGTGACTGCCTGTGACTGGATGTGATTGGGTGTGACTGGGTGTGACTGCCTGTGACTGGGTGTGATTGGGTGTGACTGGGTGTGACTGCCTGTGACTAGCTGTGGCAGGCTGTGGCTGGGCTGTGGCTGGTTGTGACTGGGCTGAGGCTGGGTGTGGCTGGCCGAGGCTGGCAGGGACTGGACTGGGACTGCGGTTGGTCGGCCCTGACTAGGTGTGCCTGGGCTGTGACTTGTGCCTGTGTGTGTGGCTCCAGGTTTGACCCTTGGCAGAATGTATCATGCCTGAGGGAATGAGTCAGCCAGGAAGCTCCTGTTTTGGAAAGGCAGAGACCAGCCAACCCTGGCACAGCCGCCATGAGGGGCTGTCACGGAGCCCTTTCTGGGGCCTTCTTAGGGGGGAGTTTGCGGTTGTGGGCAGGGATCAGGCCGCTTCGACCCCTCCTTACCCTCCTGCCGAGCAGGGATGCCCCAAGGTCTGGCTTACAGGGAGCTGCCCCTGTCTGGGTCACTGCAGGAGAAGCTGCTGTGGATCGGGTGGGATGTGCACGGCTCCCTGCTTTGGGAGAAAGACATGGTGGCGTGGACAGGAAGGCCCCATCAGCCCTGAGCCCTGGGACTCGGAGGCTCGTGGTTTGGGATCCTGGGGCATAGAACAGAGCTGGCAGTGCCCCCCCACCCCCCCACCGCAGGGTCTCGGTCCCCAGGGAAGTGAGTGAATTTTCAGTAAATGGTGCACATTGTGTGGGCTTGCACTGGCCCAAATGGGGCGGTGAACCTGGTGCTCGGCCTGCGGGAAGGAGCCGAGTGGTGACCCAGCCGTGCCTCTGCCCCGTCCGAATCCCTGAGCTGCAGGGTGGGGGCTGTATTTGTTCTTGGACTCGCGTCACCGCGGGCGGGGGCAGGTGCGGGAAGAGAACAGGTCTGCCTTGGCACTGGGACCTGCTCACCTCCTGTCCTACCACCAGGACACCACATCCAGAGGATGAGGAACAGCCCCCCGCTGGACGAGTTGCAGCCACCGCCCTACCACGACGACAGTGGCTCCCCCCACCTCTCCTGCACCCCGTCAGAGATGGGGGACGGCAAGTGCGAGCTCTCACACTGCTGCAGCAGCCCCCGGTGCTCCTGCACCAAGTGCCCCAGTGAGGGCAGCCCCGGGCCCGAGGCTGGCGGCTTCCGCGGCAAAGGCTACGACGAGGACGTGCCGAGCGACAGCACTGCCGTGCTCAACCCCGAGGTGAGGGGGCGCGGCAGGCCGGGGCGGGGGCTCTCTGAAGCCCAGGGCTCACAGCCACTCCAGACTCAGGAGGGGAAGATGCTGCAGCCAGACCTGGGCAGCCAGCCCAGTCCCCCTCGTCCCACGTGTGCCGGTGCTCCTGCTCTCTCCAGCCTTGGTACAGGGGGTCCGTGGCTGCTTCCATGAGTCTGGAAGCGAGACCTAACACTTTCCTGAGACCTGTGCGGGATCACTCATTTCTCATTCCAAGGGCCGTGAAGACAGTGCAGCAGAGAAAGCACCAGCCTTGCACACGGTCAACCCGAGTTCAACCCCTGGCTCCAGAAATAGCAGTCTCCAAGCACAGAGCAGGAGTGACCCCAGAGCACAGGCCCTGGATTGATCCCCGGGCACAGAGTTGGGAGTGAGCCCTGAGCATAGACGGGGGAGTGAGCTCTGAGCAGAGCTGGGGGTGATTCCTGAGCACCACCGGGCGTGGCCCGAAAAACAATGAAAAAAACCCTGTATCCACTTCTCAAAGCTTCATGGGGTAAATGACACATTCTGAGCTTTGCTGTTCACCGAGACGTGGGTGGCACACAGGCCCTGGGCGGGGCTCAGGTGCGCTGGCCGAGCGTGGACCAAGAGCGCTGACTGGCTGCTGCCAGTCCCTGTCCTGGAGGTTCCTGGTGGTGGGGACCTCGCTGGCCCCCTCCTCTCTGGGAGGTGCAGCAGGTGTACTCACAGGTGTTCGGCCTCACGGCAGTTAGACCGAGGCTGTCTCCTCTTTTCCTCAGGACATGTCAGGCCACGGGTCTCCCTCTCAGCTCCCCAAGCCCTTCGATCCCGAGCCAGAAGCCAAGTATGGCACGCTCGACGTGACTTTCGACTATGACTCCCAGGAGCAGAAGCTTCTGGTGACTGTGACAGCCGTGACGGACATCCCCACGTACAGCAGGACAGGCGGCAACTCGTGGCAGGTCCACCTGGTCCTCCTGCCCATCAAGAAGCAGCGGGCCAAGACCAGCGTCCAGCGGGGCCCATGCCCAGTGTTCACGGAGACGTTCCGCTTCAACCATGTGGAGTCAGAGCTGATTGGGAACTATGCGGTAAGATTCCGGCTCTACGGTGTCCACCGCATGAAGAAGGAGAAGATCGTGGGTGAGAAGATCTTTTACTTGACCAAGTTGAATCTCCAGGGAAAGGTGTCGCTGCCAGTGATCCTAGAGCCTTCCTGCGAGCATTCTGTGAGTATCTGCTCATGCGTGTCAGCCGTGGACACGTCCACGGCTCTTCCCAACTCTGTCCACATAGCCCTTCTCTGAGCCAGTCGTCCAGCCCTGCATAGGCAGCTGGGGTCCTTTTGTTCTCCTCTGCAGAAGTGGCCTCGGAAATGGAGATGGCATTGGGTTTGTTGGGTTTGTGGGGTCCTCCTGGCATCTCTGCCTCTGTTTCCCACATTCCTTCCCGAGGAACACTCATGTGGTGATAGAATGATCGATGATTGATACCTGTCAGGTGGTGGCTGAATAAACATTTCATAGAATCATGGTTCTCTCCACACAAGAACCAGGGGTATGTAGCACCCCAGACTCCCACTGTCTGGACTGCTGGCCTTGGAGAAATTTGCTTTCACAGCAGCTGTGCCATGCCTGTGGCAGGTGCAATACCTGCCCAGCCCAGCTGCCAGCTGCCAGATTCTTAAAGGTTCTCAAGAGGCGGCCTTGTTCCCCTCGCGCCCTTGGAGCCGATTCTGCAGCGCTTGTGCTGCTGACGTCCAACATGACTGACACCTCACACTCTTCTTTCCTCTTCTGCTGCCCATTCCTCTGTCCCTCTCCAGCTCACTCTCTGCCACTGTCTCTACCTCTCTCTGTGTCTGTGTTTCTTCTCTCTGTCTCTCTGCCTCCTTCTCCCTCTCTGCATTTTTGCTTGGTTTTTGAGCCTCAGCCAGCATGCTCAGGATTTATTCCTAGCTCTGTGCTCAGGGATCCCTCTTTAAGGCGCTAGGGGACCATATGGGGAACTAGAGTGAGCACAGATGGAAAGTGCGCAAGGCAAATTCCCACTGTACATTGCTCTGGCCCCATGGCATTGCTATTTCTGTAACTATTAACATTTCATCTCCCAAAAGCACTTGCTTTGAATTCTCTAGAAGGATCTTTACAAAACAACTTAGGATCCTCTAGAAGGGTCTGTACAAAATGTGAAATGACTCAGGTAGCGAGAGGATTCTCTCTGAAGCTGCCTTAAGACTTAGAAATATTCTTCATGTTCATATTTTAATGAATGCACAAATCATCTTTTGCTGCTTCATTTGTTATTAACTTTTTCATAGCATTTAAAATTTGAGTCAGAACTAATCTTCTAATTGTCTGGGGCAAAGAGAAGTTTTATTACCATTTTAAAGTTTGGGAAAGGAAATTTGAAACTCAAGGGTTTCCTGACTTTAAGCTAAGATCATCGTTATCTTAATGCTGTGGTGAGAGCATGCTTAAGAATTTATTTGTGTGGTTACACAGTTCTGGGATTTCATAAATTTTGTAAATATTGCTTTACTTACATGGTCCACCACCACCACCACCACTGATATATCATCATTACTGATACCTAAGTCATCTTCACCACCTCCATCTTCATCATCACCATCCCCCCTCACCATCATCGTCCACCACCTTTACAATCTAATTTGTCCCTATTAGCATCTGATATAGCAAGTTTAAAAAATAACTTGCACCCTTTTAATATGATCTTACTGATATGAAAGTGAAACTTACTATGAAATATGAGAGAAAATGTCCATTTTTGAGACCTGTGTGTTATAGATCATGTTAAATATCTCTCCTGGTTTATACCTTTCTTATAAAGGAAGACTAAGGTGTCCTGCTCTCTCTGAGTAAATCAGTCTGCAAAGGGGCTGGAGTGCTGACCAGGGTTTGATTCCCAGCATCCCATATGGTCCCCCAAGCATCAAGAGTAATTCCTGAGTGCATGAGCCAGGAGTAACCCCTGAGCATCACCGGGTGTGACCCAAAAAAGCAAAAAAAAAAAAAAAGAAAAAGAAAAAGAAAAAAATAAAAAGAAAAAATCACTCTGCAAAGATAGCTTTGTACCCTCAAATCTGTGTACCAAATCCTTGCATTTTTGCAGGGACCCCAATTCTGAGCCAGGCCTGCAGGCATGCACTGTTGTTGCCACTCAGGTACGTGTGCTCAGACGCTGGGATACTGCCGCAGAGAATCCACTCATGCTCGGATGCTGTGACAGAGTGTCCGTTCAGACGCTAGGATGATGTGGCAGTGTCCACTCAGATGCTGGGATGCCCTGGCAGAGCAATGTTCAGACTCTGGGGTGCAGCAGGAAGGTTTCTGCTCAGAGGCCGGGATGCTGTGGCAGAGCCTGGCCCAAAGGCTGGGATGCCCAGGAGAGAATCGTTCAGACGCTTGGATGCGGTGGCAGAGCTTCCATGAGGCTTGGGGGTGGCCACACCTGATGGGTTCAGGGTGCTCTTCTTCTAATGCATTGTCCTGCTGGATTTTACTTCTGGCATCTTCCCCCACGTTTTCACTCAGAAAGAGAGCCAGGCTGGTTCAGAGTGTCCCCGCCCCCAGAGACAGGCAGGCATCATCGGCTGATGGAGTCCCTGTTGCGTAGACATGAGGGCAGGCCTGAGAGGGGACTGTCCGGGGACCTGAAGGTGTTTCTGGCTCCCTTGTGGCAGGCGTGGGGCTAGTGTCCTGGTTACTTGTGTGCCATATTGGAGCCCTGGCTTGTTGATGCTGGCATCAAGTGCTGCTGCCAGCTCTGTGCCCTGCATGTATCACTGCCCACCCCGTGCTCCTGGGTGCCGCGGGAGGAACCGAGTCAATGGAGGCAGCATAGAGACTTATTTTAAAAAATCATTATCCTTGTTCTGGGCTTTGGGGCCAATGCTTGGTGGTTACTCCTGGCTCTGGACTTACTCATGGTGGTGCTCAGGGGACCATCCAGGGTGCTGGGGATGGATTCTGGGTCAGCTGCATGCAAAGCAAGCGCCCTCTCTGCTGTACTGTCACTCTAGCCCAGCTCAGAGTTTTAATGCACAAAAAACTGTCTGCAGCTACCTGCTGGATGTCTGGGACACAGGAGACATTCTGCCACACCCTCCATCCCCCACAAAATCCAACCAGCCCTCCTGGTCTGCAAAGCCCTGACGCTCTCACAGAAACCTGATTTCCTAGTAGTGATTGAGGACCCTGGGATGCTGGGATACTGCCGCAGAGAGTCCACTCAGATGCTAGGATGCTGTGACAGAGTGTCCATTCAGATGCTGGGAACTAGTGGTTACTCCTGAGTAACCTTCTGTGAATTGTGGACTGTCTTGGTGAATAGGGCGATCTAAACTTCAGTTTCAAGCGGTCAGCATTTTCCAGCTGACTCACAGATAAGGAAGGTGACCAGCCATGGCCTGTAAACTGTGGCCCCAGCCACACGTGGCCACTGCTCAGAGCTGCCAGGAAAGTCACGGCACCCGGTTCCTGAGCCTGGGCACTGGCCGTCAGCACTCCCAACTGGAGGCACAGGCTTTTGGTGTGGGAAACCCAAGCAGATCTGTTTCCCTGTGGGAGTGTTTCATGCTAGTGAGAGAAGCCTGCCCCTTGAAGACAGGGCATCTCACACGGCTGTTCTGTGGTGGCCTGCATCCTGGATGCACCCCTGTGGCGGAGAGGGCATGAGTGAGGATGCCAGCAGCCCACGGACAGGGTGGGGCGACCACTGTGTCAACAGCTGGGCTGCTGCTGGTGAGGGAGGAGACAGTCCTCAGTTTCTAGAGGAGAAGAGGAGGAGATGTATGGACTCCTGCCCCCAGCTCTGACCCCGAGTAGACAGGCCTGGTCTCTGCCTGAGTGCCTTCTGACTTTCACTGTGTGTCACTTTCTGGGCAATTACTGGTCTTCCCCTCTAACTTTTTTTTATTTGAAACTTTATTTAAACACTATGATTTACAATGTTGTTCATCACACACTCATTTCAGGTTTTCAATATTGCAATACCAGTCCCACCCCCAGTGGCCAGGGGTGGGGTCTATGGCCTGGAGCCTTGTCCACACCACACTCCTCTGCATGGTGCCTGTGGTACCATGACTGGGCTCTGGTGACCGTGACACTGTGGCCGTGCTCTACACACCTCTGCCCAATGATTGTGGAACCATTGCTGGCCCCTGACACTCCTCCATCTGGTGATCATGGCACTGTGGCCATACTGTGATGCTCATCTGCCCGCTAACTCTGGCACCATGACAGGCTCTGACACTCTTCTGCCTGGTGACCATGGCACTGTGATGGGCTCTGGGACCATGGTGCCCTGGCTGGGCTCTGACACTCCTCTACCGGTGATCATGCACCATGGCTATGTTCTGACGCTTCTCTGCCCAGTGACGGGGGCACTGTGGCCAGGCTGTGGTGCTTCTCTGCCCAATAACCATGGCGCTGTGGTGGACGCTGATGCTCTCTCCTGCTTGCAGGGCTGCGCATCGCAGGTGAGTGTGTCGGAACGGTCCTACAGCCGGAGCGTCTCCTCCTGCCAGTCCCTGGAGCGTGGCTCCGTCCCTGAGGTCCTCCTGGGCCTGCTGTACAACGCCACGACGGGGAGACTCTCGGCGGAGGTCATCAAGGGCAGCCACTTCAAGAACCTGGCAGCCAACAGACCACCCAGTGAGTGAGGCGTTTCCGCCACTGGGGCTTCCTGCATGTGGGGCTCGTGCGTGGGGCTGGGGTCCAGTCTAGTGCGCAGTCTGAGCACGGTCCCCAGGGCATCCAGTGGCTCCCCACCCAGCCCACCAGGTGAGGAGAAGCACTTGGAATCCAGATCTCTGTGCTCAGGCCAGGAGCGGTGGCACTTTCCTCGTCCTGGGACAGCTGTGGGACAGAGACAGTCGAGCATGTAGATGGAAGCAGGGAAAGCTCACTGGGTAGGTGGGGACTGAAGGCCAGGCAGGAGGCTGCTTCGTGCAGGTGCCAGGCTGGTACCGATGCCTGCTCTCCCTTCTTCCTGTCGAACCACTCGAGGAGACTCAGAGTTTTTCTGCATTCCCCACCTTTAGAAGCACCACATTGGTGTTGCCAGAGGCTCCACTCCAGACATGGAGGGTCGTGGGCAGAACCCTGGCTTCTTCCAGCACCTGCCGTGACTGTGGGGATGACAGAAGGACCACTGCTGCTCCTGCCGTCCGCTAGCCAGGGCCCCAGGGGCAGCTGGGAGGAAGCCAGTTGCTCCCAAGGGCCTCGAGGCAGCTGTGAAGGGGGGAAGACGGACACTCCTGAGGGTCTCAGGCAGCTGGGTGGGAGACAGACTCTCCTGAGGGCCCGGGCAGCTGTGAGGGGAAACAGTACTCCGGAGGGCCCTTGCTCCTGCACCCAGTGTCCGAATCGGGCAGAGGGCACCATCTCTGCCTTGGTCTCACCGCCAGCATTTCCTTGTGCCTGTAAATCTAAAGCCAGGTCTGCCCCGGTGCTGTGGAGGGGCAGGAAGGGGACAGACTTTGTGTTCCTGCTCTCCTTTCAGGAAATGTCAGAGGGAGGGAGGAGGGCCTGTGTCACTGGGGTTACCTCCAGGAATCCCCACTTGGGCTGTGACGTGAGGGGGGGCGGGGGGGCAGCTTACCTTGAGTGCTGTTTGGTATAAGAGTGTGAGCCTCCCCATATGCCTTAGCGTGGCCGCATTGAACTGTGAAGCACCACATAATCCAAGAAATAATGGTGACATTCCAGAGCAAGAACTTGGATGGTGCCACCTTAGTCTGCCCAGGCTAGTCTGCACAAGGGTGGGGCGGGGAGGCTATACGAGAGATCAAGTGTTGCATGGGTAAGCTTAGGGTTTTAGTGTGATGAGCACCACGATCCTATGGTAACTGAAATTGAGCCTTTAGAGAAGGATAATATGCATGTTTCTATGTTCAGTGTGCTTTAGACTGGATGGTATCCTTTTGAAGATGGCCCCCTTTAGAAGAGCATAACGTACGTTTAAGATTACACAGTGGCCTTAAAATTCTCATCCCATGAAACTTACCCAGCAGCCCTTTCGCTCAGCCCTCTATCTGAATTAAAATGCTCAAATTGTGTGTTTTCCCATGCCAGTAAACAGTGTTTCCTCGTGAACTCTAACCTTTGACCCTCTTTCGCCCAACAATTGACATCTGGTCATTATTTCTTTTACTGCTCTCCACCCCCCGTTGTCAGATGGACTGTTCTGTTGTCTAAAACACTTGATAGGTGGACAGGTTTATATAATCCGAGGTGAGTTCCTGTAGAGGCTAATTGGATGTTGTCTTTTCATGCAAAAACAAAATACCCTAAAACTTGCCAGCAGTGAAGCTGTCCACCATGTTGGTTTCCGGAAAAATGCACATGTATTATCTGTGGTTCTCGAAATAAAACTAACTTAGAATGTATCTCTGACTATGGATGATGGTACTCAGAGCCTTTATCAAAGATGCAAAGCCTTATCAATTCTGTCCATTCACTGTGTTTTGATTCATAACAACAGAAACGGTTGTTTCAAAAGAAATCTGGCCGTTTTCATAGGGGCGAACTGGGATTTGGACACACAGCACACATGTGGTGTGGCCTGCCGCAGCCCATTGTATGCAAGTCCCGAAGGCTCAGCACTACTGCTGCCTGAGGGCAGGGCATGTGCCAACCTTCTCAGGCCATTTCTGCCCTGCACACCAAGTGTTTCTTTCATAAATTAGCAATTCTTTTATTAATTTGTGGAAAAAAAGATGCCACGTCTAAAAATTCACATCAAATTATTTTGAAACAAACAACAAGCAAAAACAAAACTAAACAATTAAAAAAAATCCGAATCCTATAGTCTGTCTTTCAACTTTACAAAAAGCACATTAAATGTACTCTGCATGAGACTGGGAGAAAGGTTACTGGATTTGCTGGGCTTGAGCCCTGAATGTATTTGGCTGCATTTTGGCCTTTAAATGTTTTTTCAAAAAAAAAAACAAAAACCAAAAAACAACCCACATATATATTTAAAAACCACATCCATGCAGAGATTTTTTTGGACATTTCATCCTAAGCTGTTTTGATGTCATCTTTTGCATTCTCGTCTTCCTCTTTCTCCTGACCATCTGCCTTCATTTCTATTTGTTTGTTGATTCTTACTCTCTGAAAACCCAGTGGAATGCTTAACAGTGTCGTGGCTAATCGAGCTTGCTAAGTGTTTATTAACGCTATGGCGTCCTGCTCAGTGCAGCGGAATGGGGCGGGGGCGGGGTGGGGGGGGCGGGCATGGTGGGGGGAGGGGCGGATTTTGAGGTCCACCTGGAAATCCCTCCCAGGAAGGGAAGAGCAGCTGTTACTGGGCCTCTACTGGTCCGGAGTTTTCTTTAAACCTAGTTAGCATTCTCTGGTCTGCCTCAGTTGATAAGCCCATCTGTGGAAATGGAATTCCTTGAATTTACATTCAGCCCACCCCCACCCCAAGCCTAGATCCACCAGGTCCTTATTGGGTGGGACAGCCAGGCTGCCGGAGGCCTGTCTCTGTAGTGATGTCTGCAGTGTGCTATTGTTTTTCTTTCCTAGATACCTATGTCAAATTGACGCTGCTGAATTCCATGGGCCAAGAGATGTCCAAGTGCAAGACCTCTGTCCGCCGTGGGCAGCCGGACCCCATATTCAAGGAGACCTTTGTCTTCCAAGTGGCCCTGTTCCAGCTGTCGGACGTGACGCTCATCCTGTCTGTGTACACCAAGCGCAGCCTGAAGCGGAAGGAGATGATCGGCTGGCTCTCGCTGGGCCTGAACAGCTCGGGCGAGCAGGAGCTGGCACACTGGGCCGACATGAAGGAGTCCCAGGGCCAGCAGGTGCGGCGCTGGCACGCCCTGCTGGAGTCATGATGGGATGCGTGTGGAGTCCACTGTCCGCATGGAGATGGTGCCCACCAGGGGCTGGCCTCGGGGAGTCCACCTCCCCCGAGCCCTCGCCCAGCCGGAGGTTCTGTGGAGAGGTGTGGGGGCCAGGCATTGTGGGGGGCCCCCTTTCTGTGTGAGCCAGCCTCCCTTCGGCAGAGGGACTGGCCCAGTCTTCAAGCCTTGGAGCAGGCAGGGACACGAGCCATCGGGCTGGTGCAGCACGTGCTCCGCTCATTCCCTGTGTGCTGGACCCCGGGGCCCGCTGTGTCCACTGGGAGCAAGGCCCAGGCCCCTTTGCATCTCCATTGCGGGGGTGCAGCTCTGTCTCTCTGTTCTGCCCAGTACCGCACCGGCACAGCAGTACTCCCGTGCTCTGCCCTCGACCTGCTTCTGCCTGATCCACAGAGATCCGCGGCTGCCAGAGCCCTTCCGAGGCCCTGCGGTGGGAGGCTGCAGTCTATCCCCAGCCAGCAGTGGAGAGGGCAGGGCTACACTTGAAATTTCTTCAAGCGACTTCAAAGAGTTGTCATTGTGGGGAAAACATTTTTTCCCGCAAACTAAACACAATCGAACAAAAACCTACTGCACTGTGGATGAGCTGTTGGACTGAAGCAGTTCTCCTGAGGGCAGTTTTGCCCTGTGTCCAGGCATCCACGGCAGCACTGCGTCTCAATTCTGTTCCTCTCCTCAGCCCCCCGTGATGTCTGCCCCTCAGCTCCAGGCGGCCCCATCCACGTGCCTTCCAAGTGTCCCGGCGGGTGGCCGCGCCAGGCCTTCATTCTTACCAACATGACGATTCCTCAGGACGGGGCACCAGACCCTGCCCCTCTGCTGTCTGTCCACGTTCTCGAATGTGCTGACATTTTTAAAGGACCAGGCCTTTTTGTTTGCTGTTTTTATACCTAGGAACTCTGGTGAATCAGGAATATTCAATGCTGTTTCCTTTTTGGTTTTGCTTCTTACCTAATATATCATTTTATGCATATTCTTTATTAAATAGAGTATGTTTTGTATATATGAAAACTATTTTCTTTTTCTCTTTATACCTTCTTGTTAAACTGGATTTTTAAAAACCCTGCTATTTTCCAAGCATTAAAAAGCAGCCTCCCTTGTTCTCATATGGATCTTATCAGCTAAACTTGTTATCACCCACCGTCCTAACAGAACCAAGCACGGACATGGTGACCTATGCTCAGCACTCTTGAAAGGCCTTACGAGAAATCCTAAAAAGACAGTGAACTTCTTTGATTTTTTTTTTAGCTTTTCAAAAAAGGCAGCTGTGTGTCTGTGTGTACAAGCGGGATGTCAATGCTGGGGTCCGGGTTGGGGCTGGCTGCACTGCAAAAAGGGAGAAACCTTTTCCTTCAGGGTTGTGTTCGGGACCTTACCCCAGGGTTCTTAATAAAGGAGCTAGGATAGAAACTTAGAATATTACCCAGGGCAGCCCTGCAAGAATTTTCAGAGACCGGGTGGGGGTGGGGAAGGATGGTGGTGCAAGTTGTAGATTTGGCGGGAAACTATTTGCAGTCCTCTACTCGGGCTTGAAACAAGCGAGCTGGGGCAAGGCCTGGGGTCAGTCACCTCACTGGGTGGAGACAGCCGCGGAGGGTTGGATTCCAGCCTGGAACCTCCCCGAGCCACTGGAGGACGAACGGCTGCCTCTTGAGTTCACTCTTGCACTGGAGCCCAGAATGCTGACGTGTGTGCTGCTGGTTCAGGGTGCCGTATGCATGCCAGATCCCACCACAGAAGAGTCTTCAGGCCCTACCTCAACTCCAGCTGCCATGGCCCCAAAGATGAAGCGCACATCTATGTGTATATGCATACCTACTCACATCGCAACATGTATGTGCACAAACATGCCACATATACCCATCACTGCAGTACATGCATATGAATGCCCCTGGATAATGTGCACATACACACGTGTTCACATGCTACATGTGAACATGCATGTGTGCACACCACATGTGTATGCACACATGGGCACACCATGTATGTTCATGTGCATGTTCATGTAATATTCTGAGGTGAAGGTGCCTTGGATTCTTTTGATGCTTAACTAGAAAACATTGATCAAGTTTCTGGGATCCTTTTCCTTACCTATTGATTGGAGACAGCTGGGTGGTTGCTCTCAGCTGCCTTTGCACATCTCGTACCTGTGACTTGACATGACAGAATTGTCACTGGAAACATGAGATCTCTCCGGACGAGTCCCAGGCCTCTCCAGGCTGCTGTCTCTGCACTCGCCTGGGGTGTTCCCTGGATGGAGCTCGAAGGCTGACTCCTCCACCTCTAACTGCAACCAGGAGGGGCCACGGGGCCCAAACTGGAGACCGCAGCCCATGTTCTGTTCTCTTGGGATTGCCTGTGTTCTACAGCAAAGTGAGACTTCATACCCAGCTGCGGCTGTGCCCCATCCCTGGGCGCCTGGGTCTGGGACCGGGAGTCCCACTGGCCTGTGGCCTGTCCCTGGCACGGAGAGAGTGACTGGGACAGGAAGGATCCTTGTTTTGGTGGGCCCGAGCAGGCCTGCCTCACCCCCACGGTCAGGTGCTTTGCTACAGCTGCTTCCTTGTCCCCTGGGCAGTGACCAGCAACTCTGGGTGGGGAGGTGGGTTCAGGCCTTGGCGTGCTTTCTTGTGGCCAGGCCCAGACCAGCCTCATGGACCACAAGGACCTCTTCCTTCGAGGGTGGGGTTGCTCCTTCCCCAGGGTTCACAGTAGGGGGATGCGAGGCCGGTGGAGACGCCATGTAGCATCTCCTTGGTCTCGGGGTTCAGGTGGGCCTTGGTGCAGAGCCCCCTCAGTGCTCCCTTCAGCTGCTGGCCCAGAGCAGCCCCGAGGCAGAGGAGGGAGGCCAGTGGAGTCCCTGCAGCCGCTGGGATGGGTTTTGTGTGCTGTGGTCCATGGTCTGCTGGGCAGAGCAGAGCGCCCTGGTCCCCTGATGGCACGCGGGGGGCCAGCTGGAGGAACGGGAGCATGGGGCCAGGCTGCCCACTGGAGGACGCCATCCCTGACACAGCCCGAGCACACAGGATACCGGGGGGTGGGTTTGGGAGTGAAGTGGAGGTGTTTGAACGCTGATACAGTTGACAGTCGGACAGCTGACAGTCGGTCTGAAATCGCCCTGTTGTTGTGGCCCTTCCTCCTTTCCTTTGTTATTCCGATTCCTACTGGATATTTGAATCTGCCTTTCAAATATTCAAAACTCTGTGAGCAAGTCCTTGACACCTTCCTGAGTAGTTCTTTGCCATCTTACCCTGACTGCGCCTGAGATGGATCCAAACATGCCACAAACCACTTCTGAAGTTTGGCGTGGAGGCGCACACTTGTGGGGGGCCCACGGGGGTAACGGCCCAGGTCTGTTTGTCTTCTTTCCCCTGCCCCCTCAGGCACCTGAGGGATCCTCAGTGGATCAGTGCCCCATAGTGTGGCTTGGGGGTGATGCCTGAGCACAGAGGGGAGCAGAGACCCCAAGCCATCCGGGGCCCGTCACAGATGCGGGGAGATGAGCTGTGGCTGCATCCAGAAAGTTGTGCTACAGGTGCTCATCCTTTTTTATCTTAAAGAACAGGGGGAACCTCAGAGAATCAAAACACCCTGTTTTGCAGTGTCCAGATTGTTTTCCGTTTTGCAGGGCCACGATCAGGGAAGGGGTTGGGGGTGGGGGGTGGAGGGGAGGGAAGGCCGGGCAAGTCATCTGGGTCTCTTTGGGGGTCACACCCTAAAGATGTCACATTTGCTGCCTGAGGGGCACAGGGCATGTTTGCACTTAGATTTGGCTTCTTAGTAGTCGATATTTGAATACGTATTTGAAGTGCAATGCAGAGAAAATGTGGTTCTTCCAACAGCCTTTTGAAAATGTCAGTAGTCCATTAGGTGTTCCTGGGGGAAAGTTTTCAGCACTAGCTTGAATTCCAGGTGACTATGTAATATTCGTTCCTGCTGCATTTTATGGAGTTGCCTTTGTTTCTTTTTCTGCATCTTTTCCCTGAGACGGCGCCCATGTTTGCACATAAGACCAGCAACTCCGAGGACCTGAAGCCAACAAAATCCAGCTGTTTTCACCAGAACTGCAAAATCAGACAATGTCACTGGTGTCATTCTCGCTCCCATCGGTCTCCATGAGAAGTTCTTACAGCCATTTGGATCCAGAGAAATGCTGCCCCTGTTACTTTTCTAGAATTGTGTTGTGCAATACTCTTGCGCTGTTTGTTTCTCAGAATAATGAGATTTTTATGGGAGACTCAGTTTGTGAGTCTTTTATTCAAATGCCCTTCCTTCCATCCCTTCCTTGTCCCTTCTTGCTTCCTACTTCATCTTTCAAGTCAAGAAGCTTCCTTAATGGTCTTGTTTCTACAGAGCTTTCATACTTATTTTTCTAATAATGGCTAGAACCATGTGGTGACGCTAAAATGCTCTGTGAGCAGAATCCTGTTGTGCCCGCACGTGGAGAAGCCCACGGCTGGTGGCGCTTCCTGCTGTCCTTGTCACTTGTCTTCTTCATGTCTGTCCGTTCTTGTGAGCACACGTGTATTGCCACCACTGGCAGTCTGTGCTGTTCTCTCATGCTCTTTCCCACCTGTGACCAGTGCCTCGGAGCTTGGGACACGTACTCTCCAGCACGGCTTTCCATTCCTGTGCCGATTCTCTAAGCTCACCTCCCGTTTGTCTGCGTGCCTTTGCCTCTCGCAGACTGTGGACTTCAAATTCACCCTGTCCTACCCGTGAACAGAGCATCACTGTTGCATTACAGGCCTGAGGCCACCTGGACACTCCTCTTTGCCACAGATACATTTTCCACACTGGCCAAACATCCCTTTGCCTCCTTTTCTGCACTCAGGGGCTGGTTGGCATGTTCCCTCGGACGTCTCAAATGAGACACGGACATCCACCCTGATTCCAACCCACAAAGAGGCTTGCTGATGACTGTTACACAATGTCAGACACTGCGTGCACAGATCCAGATGTGACAAAGACCTCAAGTTTGGGACAAATGTCCTTCAAACGTGCTACAAAATGTTCTTGAAACATTTGGGTCCTGTTTTTTTTTTTTAATTCCACATTAAATCTGAAATCCAAAGAAAATAGACTCTAGACTAATGTAAGCATTTTA